GTTGGAGCAAGGGACCACAGGGGCAGAGTGAACTTTCAGGGTGAGAAAGCTGCTGTGGTATATGGAGAGAGGCAGGAATGGAGGTCAGAGAGAAATGAAGGGGGATCTTTCTTGTGTTACTCCTCTACTCCAATAATGCTGTTGGACCACAGGACTGGCTATTTCATCTTTATCTGCTGCCTTTACAGTCCCAAGAGGAGCACAGCATCTCTATTTTAAACCTCATCCTTTCTTCCTCCTCTTCTCACAAAGTGAGAGGAGTGAAAGAGGAGACTGGTTTTCCCACAAATAATGTGTGACAAATATTTTTTTAAACCCCACAAAACTTCCTGACATATCAGTCACAGACTAGGTAGGAGAAGTCAGCCAAGGTTTCTAGTCTAAGATACTGTAAGGATGGTGGTATCAGGAGATAGAAATAAGGTAATTATGAAAGGAATTTGATTTGGGGGTCAGAGGGAGAGCAGATCCTTTTTGGTGTGACACATAAAAAATTCAAGAGACATAATTAATCATGTTATTAATTATAGCTAATGAATAATAAAAGAATGGTCATTTGGCCATATCTCATAAACCAAAGACGGATCATGGCAGCCTCTTGACCACTTAGATGCCCTTGGGAGAGTGGGTGTTCCCAACAGGAGGCAATCAACTCTGGTTAACAATTAATGAGAAAAAAAAATGAGTATTATGGTGAGAGGTAGACCTATTCCGATGAGGGGCTGGGGGACTTTGATTATATCATTCTTACTCCCAGATCACCTCCAGTCTGGACAATCTAGGCAAAGGATCTATCCTTCCCCCCACCCCAAGCCTGAGTAGAACACAGTGGGCTTCCCTAGTTGAGTGGGGTCTGAACAAGATTGAGGAGAATATTAAACCTAATCTCATTATCAGCCCTATTCTTCAGAGGCTGATTTGACCTAGTAGAGAATGAGGAAATAGGAAGGGAAAAAACACTGGATCTCCCCTATATTAGCAATTGGTAATTTAATAATCATTACTCTCATTGGACGTGTCAAGTTTGAGAGGTATCCAAATGAAGATACCTTTTAGGCATCTGGAAATAGGGGGCTGATGTAAAAATGAAAGTTTAGATCTGCAGATATAGATTGAGAAGCCATCATTTTGTCATAGAAGATTCATCTGGCAAGTGGAGGGGTGAGTGATATATTTTAATATTAAGGTGATGTAAAAACAAAAGATTATCCATACATATTTAAAGAAACCACATACCGGTCCATTCCAAAGATCATGATCTAGAGCCAAGTGGGATTCTAAAGGTCATGTAGTCCAACCCTTCAACTTACAGGCTGGGAAACTGGTACTCAAATTGGGGGGAATTGCCTAAGGTCATATAGCTAGTAAACAGCAAAGATAGGAGTCAAACTCAGGTCCTGTGACTCCAAGTTCATTGTTTCCCCAATATTTCTGTAGGACTTTAAGTTGTGCATAAACACTTAGCAGACATTTCATTTGACCCTCACAACAACCCTATGAGGGAGGTACTAGAAGCGTCATTATCCTCATTTGTAGATAAGAAAACTGAGGCTCAGAGCATTGAAGTGACCTGCCCAGGGTCATTGAACTGGTAGGTACTGGAGGTTGAATCTGAGCTCATATCTACTTTACTCCAAATCTAACATTCTTTGCCATTCAGAGCTCCCAAATCTTTGACATGCTACGGGTGACCATCCTCATTGACTTCTCTTCGACCTAGGGTGCTCATTCTTCACCCTAGGGGGTGAATTGGCCACACCAAGATTGTTCAGGTATGTTCAATGTAACCTGGACCAAAGGCTCATAGATTTAGATTTGGAAGAGACCTTAAACTTATCTAGCTGCACTGCTATATTTTACAGATGAGGAAACTGAGGGACAGAATGGTAGAGTCACTTACCTAAACTCAAGTAGATAAATTCATTTCAGAATCAGGACTTGAACTTAGGTCCTCTAACTGAATGCAGGGCAGTTCCAATGCCACTACACCAAGATGGCAAAAATAAACTTCTTAGCCGTGGTGGGTTTTGATGACTTCATCTTTATGGTCAGTGCCTTCAAGACTGAAAAAATTAAAAAATAATTTAAAAAAACTAGGCTATTCTAGCCTAAGAGAACCCCCTTGATTTGAGCCAGTTTCCATCAGATTGAACCTAGTTTTAGTAAGTTAGTCTCCTGTTGTACATCTCCAGAAATAAGCTATACCCCTCAAGAATCCTTGGCACCAAAAAGGGCAACCATCCGGAATCGCAGTCCAACTCTCTGAGACATGATAAAATGTGCAGTGCATCTGTGGGAAACAAAAGGAAAAAAGTGGGAAACAAATGTTGGGGAAAATGGGGGACAAGCCTAGGGTTTGTATCTTACCTGGCGTGGATTTTCTCTTGATAAGGAGTAGTCTAATGGCTCCTCCCTCAGGTGTCAATCGTCTGAATCTTAATGCATTCACAAAGATTTCCATACAGCTGGAGCTTAGTAGGGGTTCAGCACTTTGATGAACTGTGAATTTTTTTGCTCACCTCTTTTCTGCCCTAAATTAACATGAATAATAATGACATTTTACACTTATGGAATGCTTCATTTCACTGGTGTCAAACTCAAATAGAAATAGAAGCTACTAATCTGTGTGTCAAGGTCCTTGTGGGCCACATGGTGCCTTGGTTTTAAATTTTAATGTTATCTGTTTTATTGTATTTTAATTTATTTCTTTGATATTTTAATCTGGTTGGGGCTGTACTGTAGAGTTGCCAAGCATTTGAGACCTTTGCTTTATACCATTTCATGTTAATTCCAGAAATTTCCATAATTCCTCCTTATGAGATATGTTGGATGGTAATTAGTTAAATTGGTGACCTGGCTTACTTCGGATTGCACAGATAATTAGAGAGGATGACAAGAATGGAAGAATTGCCCACAGGAAATGTGCATCCATGCATGGTATTTGTCTTAAGGAAGGTTAATTTTGGTTACCTAAGGCAGTCTTTTCTTCCTATGTGATCTCCTTGACTTCTAGACTATCTAGCACTTATGGTTCCCGATACATAGTTGGCACTTTAAAAAATGCTTGTTGACTTGATTTGACTAGCATGGATAGGTTTTCTGCCAGAGCACCAGGTCAGAAATTCCAGACATGGAGTGTAGAATTGCACCTTTCTACTTGTCTGTCTGGTTAGACCTTCAGACTAGTCTGCATGATTGATCTACACTGGTCTGCTGGTCTGCATTGGGTCAGGAGTCTACATCTAAGTTGCTTATTGGAGCTAGTATCTTCCTAGGCAATGTATGATCAATCCTTAGGGATGTTCCAGGACTGAATTGAGTCAATCTAGATTTGGCTGAGGAGAACTAAGAGAGAGGAGAACTAAGTTAAGGGGAAAGAATGCTTTTAGATCAAACCTTGTGGTTTCCAGCCAGCCAACTTTGAGTTCTGTTGACTTTCAAACCCTGAGATCCAACAAGCCTGAGCTCTTTTCAAACCAGTGATGAACGCTCTACTACTTCCCCAAAGAAAAAACCATAATGAGGCCCACAGATCTTGAGCAAAGGATGTGGCTTTTAGCTGTCGAGTGAATCAAGTCAATTTTGGTTGCAGCAGCTAGCAGACTATTTCCTGAGGTGTCACAGCTTGCCTGCAACACGACGGATGAAATTGCCATATCCTGAGAAGAAAGAGGCTTCACTTTGTAGTTCTTTGGTCGTTTTGCAGTCATGTCTGACTCTTCATGACCCCATTTGGGGGTTTCTTGGCAAAGATCCTAGAGTGGTTGGCTCTCTCCTTCTCCAGCTCATTTTACAGATGAGGAAACTGAGGCAAAGAGGGTGAAGTGACTTGCCCAGGGTCACAAATCTAGTAAGTGTCTGGGGCCAAATTTGAACTCAGGAAGATGAGTTTTCCTGACTTTAGGCCTGGTACTCTATCCATGGCGCCACCTATCCTAGTCTTTATGCTCACTACTGCTACTCACAAAATGTTAGTAAGGGTCCAATGCTTTGTATTTTCAGAAAAAAATGTATAAGATTACTATGCATGTTTAACTCTATTTAAAAGGGTAGGAGGGAGGAAAACAAAAACATTTGTTGCCATGCTAAGTTGTTCAAAGCAACAAGTGTCTACCATAGGATGGAAAACTTGGTTCAATGTGAGAAATAGTGGATAGTGTTTGGGAGTGGAGATAATATAGTTTCAAATTCTAGCGCTGACACTTAATAACTGCGTGACCCTGGGCAATTACTACAACCTGAGTAACTTATCTCCCTTTATAGAATGTAAACTCTTTGAGAACAGGAATCATTTCATTTCTCTCTTTGTACACTTGTTGTCCAATAATGCCTGGTATATAGTAGGTGCTTAATAAAGCCTTGTTGATTGAGCCTCAGTTTCTTCATTTGTAAAATGGAGGTAACAATAGTACCTATTCATATGGTTGTTGGGGGGTGTTTCAAATGAGATAACCTATGTAAAGTGCTTTGAAATTCTCAGAGTGCTATATAAATGTCACTATTATAATTATTATGATCTATACTAAGTCAGTGAATAAACATTTATTAATTGCCTATTACGTGCTAGGCATTGTGCTGGAGATACAAAGAAAAGCGAGTCTCTGCACTGAGGAACGTCATAGTCTAATGGGGAAGATAACGTGCAAACAATTATGTAGAAACAAGCTTTATACAAGATATATTTGAGGTAATCAAAAGAGGGAAGGCATTAGAAATAAGGGGGAATGGGAAAGGCTTCGTGTAGAAGGTGGGGTTTTTGCTGGGACTGGAAGGAAGCCAGGGAAGCAAGGAGGTGGCAATGGGGAAGGGGGAGCATTCCATGCATTGGGGGACAGCCAATGAAAATGTACTATCACTTAGGCAATTAGTTGACTAAATGACAGGAGACAATCCAGTAGAGGGGAGAGAGAGGAGGGGTGATGTCCTTGTGCTTTAAAGAGAGCTCAGCTGCTTCAGAGTATATTTCTGTTTGTCCCTCAGGGGAACCCATTAAGAAACTATTTTCAGAGCAACAAAAATAAAAGCTTTTATTTGTTCATTTGAATATAAAACAGGCGTTATCACAGATGTACAAAGCGTACTGGTGGTTTAACATACAAGAAGGTTTGCTGTCCTTTGCACATAAAAACTTTGTTTGAAACTGTGATTGGCTGAGTATATGAACTGCTCTAACCAGTCACCACACTCTATGAAATAACGCTGCTAACATTCAACTGATAAAAGGGACAGTCTCCCCTTGGGTAAAGTGTCAAGCAGGATTAAATATATATATATATATATATATATATATATATATATATATATATATATATATATATATATATATATATATATATATTCATTTATTTATATATATATATATATAAAATAAACAAGCACCATGAGGAATCTGCTCCTGTTTGATTAGGTCTGTGTGTGTGTTTGTGTGTGTGTGTAAATGTTCATTGTGTACCCTCTCTTTGTGCAAATTGGTTACGTGGTTTTGTCTGACTTCAAAAGCACAAGGTCACAAGACAAACATTTTATACATTCTCATGAATGGTTTATCTACAATACAGTTCCTAATACAGAACAATCCTTCTTTATTGCTGAATCTGGTGGTATCAAAAGGTTGCCTTCCACTTTGCTTTGCACTACGTTGCTCCAAATTCAGTCCTTTATCACTTTTGAGTAGAAAACTCAACACCACAGATGACAGGTTGCAGAAGAGATCCATTATTATTAACTCCTTTCCTGATCGCATTGCAGCATATGTTTCTCTCCTCTCCTTCCCCTCTCCCCAACTCCCAGAGTTGATCTGGTGAAGGCTAAAATGACATTGGAAGGGATGGCTAAATTTGGCCAAAGGGACTGAGGTGGAATTTCACAAGTTACCCTCCCCTACTCCCCACTGGACAATTATGTTTTGCAAATGATCAAAATTGTATTTGAAAATTAGAGCCAACTTTCCCTTAGGACAAGGAGATTGTACGTGTACAATAAGATGTTTCTTATTTTCTTTTTCTTTATAAGGTCTGTTTTTTGACCCTTAGGAAATACAGGACCTCATGTTACATAAGTTCTCAGATTGTGTTTGGAGCATATGTTTAGAAATATTGACACAGCAATGAAGTTCAAAATGGTGATCTAAAAAGCGAATGCCTTGCGGACGTGGGAGGATGCACTGTACATGCAGACAAAAAAATGTGCCTTTTTAAAAAAAAACAACTCAAAATAATCCACCTTGGATTTTGGAAGTCAAACAAAACTTTCTTTTAGCAAAGGGCCCACTACTGAATGCATACTGCAAAGTCAGACGTAGACATTGCCTAAAAGTGTCATTTAAAAAAGAAAAAATAAGGATCTAAATTTTTCCCAGCAACAATCTCAGTCATGCATATCCAGTAACAAGAGAGCTATCACAGGAGCCTATTTGGGACAATTATAAAATAAATCAGTCTTGGGTGGCTGCTGATAGACTCACTTGGTCAGACACAGACAGGCCATCTTGATTTAGAAATGTACTAATGAGCTCTGAAAATTAAAAAAAAAAGGCGGGTGGGGAGAACAGAGGGAGGAAAGGAGAGACTAGAATGGAAGGAGGACCTGAAGATCTATTTATCTATGGGTAGTAAAATGAAGGCAGCTGTGAAGCATGCTGTGTGACTCTTCCCTATAGATGGCCTCTGTTACAGGCTACCAGGGCAGCTCAGCTCCTTGAAGAACTTCCCTTGGTCTAAGAGACCCCTGGAGAAGAGAAACTCACTAGCTCGGTTATAGGCAAGAGGAGAGAAGACCTTTTCTCTAATTCCATTCCCTAAATTTGTCTTGGAGAATGTGCCTACCCACTACAATGGCCATTGGAGGGAGAAATGAGACCAACTTGGTGCAAGTGACCATGGAAAACCATTCCTTATCATATCACAACAATAACAGCAATGGGAAAAAAAAATAAACACACCAACAAAAAATGATAGGGGAAAACCTGTGCAACAGATTCTTGCAGCTAGGAAACAGTGCTACTCGCCAACCTGCCTTCCTAAAGTGTAACAAGTGTAAGCACATGCCAGCACAAATAGAGTTATTGTTACCTCTGTGGCAAAGAAAAAAAAATATTTTAGTGCATGTTTAGCCTTTAAATTCATTCACCATCTTCGAGATGGCAAAAATTTCACTTGCTGGTATCTGGTATCTAGAAGAAACTTTGAGACAGGGTTACTTGGCAATCCATGATTGCTTTCTTCAGAGAAAGTTTGTGTGAGTTAACACTCAATTATCTACAGTAGAGTGGGGGGGAGAGGGACCGGGGACACCATGCAAGTGACAAGTTCTGCATTTTAAACTTTAAAATCTTTTTTGTCCTTAGTGAATTTATATTTCATATATATATATTTGATGTGATACTATCCACGCAAGATAATACAACACTTTTTTATATTAGCAAACATTACAAGACTTTAATATTCTTGAATGTTTTCTCTTTTATACTTCTAAAGAGATCAAAATAAATTAAACGTTTTGTACATAATTACATATGAAGAAGTTAACTTATTTTATCTTTTTAGTTTAGTACAAAGATATCTGTAAGATAATTGCCGAAATACACCTTATTTATAATTTCTTCTTCCTATGCTAACATCAAAGGCCATTTGTTAGCCTTTGTCCTTCGGCACATTTCTGACAAAGAAAGCTGCTAAATTCTAATTGGAAGGTGCTATTTGGAAAGTTTTCGTACCTCAACACGTTTTCCTAAAACAATGGGATCTAAAGATGGCTTCAATTAGTAACAGATCCACGTTGGTAAGATTGATGACACATTAAAACAGTGAAAACAATTCTCTGTCACACTATGTAAAATTGTCTAAAAGAACCCAGTCAGAGGGCAGATTTAAAAAAAATTGCTACTTCAGCTCAACGCAAAAGTACAAAGCCACATTTACGCAGAAAGCACTTATCCAGTAAGCCAAAAAAAAAAGAAAGAAAAAAAAAGAAAAGTTTTAAAATGGGCTTTTCCATCAAACCAAAGGCAGTAATCCCAAAGTCCTTCTGAGCTAAAAATTTAGTGGTAAAGGAAACACGTTTCACATTTTATTCCCTGGCCAATTGTGACTGCTTTGAAAAGTCATCATCATCATCATCCTTATCATCATCACAATAACAGAAACAGTTCCAATCTGATGAGCATTACCCTCGTTTCTCTGCACGTTTTTAGTAGACACTGAGGAAAATGTATACATCTCTAGTAAAGTCCATGGAAGCCAAAGGGACAAGACTACATGTTGTAGGCCACATAAATTGGATCTAGCTGGTCTGCCAAAAATCCATCTCGTAGGTGCATACGCTGCTTTTCTCCACGGGAGTTGATAGGAATGACACCAATGTCCACCACCACCACCACGCCTACAATCAGGTAATGTTCCTCTAGAACCACATTCGTGACTAAGGGAACCAGGTCCAAGGCTTCTTGTTCTGAGCCATCCAACTCAACCACAACGACCAGTAAGTTTGTCCAAGTAAACACGGCACTAGGAGGAAAGAAGACAAATCATTAGTGTGGTAGACAGGGGAGGGTTAAAAAAATTCTATAATCATAAATATATACATATTACTTAAATACATAATAGATACCTTTTGGTTTTTGTCACTGCCATTTCCTGTCATGCCACCCCCACCTCTCCCCACTGAACCCTTCCTAGTAACAAAATAAATAGTTAAGTACAACCAACAAAGTGACCCCATCTGAGAGCATTTATGACATTTCTCCCCCATATTTTATCTTCCCACTCCCCCCCCATGCTTCTAAAAGGAGGAGAATCTACTCCGTCATCTGTTCTTCCAGACTAAGATTAGTTACTGTAATTAATCCAAGTTCAGCTGCCTTTTAATGGTCTTTCAAATTATGTGATGGTAGTAACATTTTTCTCCTTATTCTGCATTCTTCACTTTCCAATTCATGCGTCCCTGTTGTTTCCATAGATTCCATATGTGTGTGTGTGTGTGTATGTGTATATGTATATGTGTGTGTGTGTGTGTGTGTGTGTGTGTGTGTGTGTGTGTGTGTGTGTGATTTTTAGTGAGGCAGTTGGGGTTAAGTGACTTGTCCAGAGTCACACAGCTAGGAAGTATTATGTGTCTGAGGCTGGATTTGAACTCAGGTCCTCCTGACTCCAGGGCCGGTATTCTATCCACCGTGCCACCTAGTTGCCCCCTATAACTTCCTCATATTTAAAATTTTTCTTATAGCAGAGTTAACATTTCATTTACATTTATATGCCACAGTTTGTTCAGCCATTCACTTCCCAATCCACGGGCACCTACTTTTTTTTTCCCTACAGCTAAAGAAGTCTGTTATGAATACTCTGTCTTTGACTTCCTTGGTGGGTATAGATGCCAGTATATAGGTCACTGGGTTAGAGAGTATGAACAGTTGAGCAATTTTATTTTAGTTTTTGGCATAAATCAAAGGTAATTTATACTAGCAGTGGGGGAGATCAAGAAAGGCTTCACATGGCGCTTGAGGTGACTTTTGAAGGAAATATAAGCCAAAATAAGCCAAGCTGGTCATCGGCAAAAAACACGAAATCCATTATCCAGCTTGGTGGCCTTCTAGAGCCACAAGCCACAGACTTGCCTCCTTGCCACACGATGAGGCATCAGAACAGGATTTTTTATTAGGCAATACTAATAACAATGTCCTGTGCTTAAGTAGCACTTAGAGATGTAGTGTGGTATAGTGTGACCCTGGGCAAGTCACTTAACCTTTCTGAGCTTCAGGCAGTTAATGTTCTAGGATTAAGCTAGAGGCTAGTTTTGTTCTTCTTTCGTGGAAAGAATTTTCACATTAAATCAATCTCTACAATACTTCTTAGCCTGTTGTTCACAGGCCCCCAATGAATCTGGATAGATTTCAGGGGATCTATGTACTTAAATGTGAAAAAAAAATTACATCTTTATTTTATGTGTATGTGTGTGTGTCTGTATTTAGTTAACATTTATGTAGTGATTTAAGGTTTGCAATTGTTCAATCCTGTCTGACTCTTCATGACCCCATTTGGGGTTTTCTTGGCTTAGATACTGGAGTGGTCTACCATTTTCTTCTCCAGCTCATTTTACAGATGAGGAACTGAGGCAAACAGGGTGAAGTGAGTTTCCCAGGGTCCATAGGTAGTAAGGGTCTAAGGTCACATTTGAACTCAGGAAGAGGAATCTTCCTTTTTTTTTGTTTTTTGTTTTTTTGGTTGGGCAATGGGAGTTAAGTGACTTGCCCAGGGTCACACAGATAGTTTCTGAGTCAGGATTTGGACTCAGGTCTTCTTGACTCCAGGTCCAGCATTCTATTCAGGGTACCACCTAGCTATCTGGTTTCCTTTAAAACCCTATTTATTTTACAAATTTCAAAACATTATTATTCTGGGAAAAAGTCCATAGGCTTCAACAGACTGCTAAAGGAGACCTGGTCCTCCCAAAAGTTTAAGGACCTCTGCTACAACAATTTTACAAAGCATTTCCACACTGTCTCACTTGAGCTTCATGGCAGTGTGAACACTGTTATACCACTTTATAGAAAAAAAAAGGGCTCGAGAGAAAAGACCAGAGACTTGTTCAAAGTTCCAACATCAATCTTCAGGGTCAGAGCCAGGTCCCTCCTGATTATGTGCCCACTATATCACCTCTCCCTGGAGGTCTTCAAACAATGGCTGGATGACCACTTATCTGGGAGGCTCCAGAAATGGCGCCCAAGAACCTTTCCAACTGCCATGACAGTGGTAATGTCCAAAATGGTGGAGCAGTCCAGAGGACTCCCATAAAACCTGAATTCACTAGGATCTGAGCCATCTGAGTCCAAAAATAAGCTGACTTAGCCCTATGTTTCCTTCCCAAATGAGATCATCTTGCAAAGTACAGCTTGAGAAAATGAAATTACTAAACCCTGAAATATAGCAATTTATAATGAGCAGTATTAATTATCATCTTTCTTTTTTTTTCCCCCAACCAATATAAAACTTAGTCATAAAAATCTGCTCCAGGTTGACGCTTTGCTGACTTAGTTTGAAGGAAGATGGATATCTTGTTCTGCATTTTAATGGGGAAAAATGCTCTGGTTAAGCAACATTCTCTAAAGCAGTGCTTTTTAAATTGTGGGTCAGGACCCCATATGGGGTCAAGAAAAATTTGGCAACAGTAAAAGTTTTCTGAATGCGCAACAACCAAAAATTAATTCAAAATCAAAGGCGTAATGAATCAGAGGCAGTTCTGGCAACTCTTTCCCATGTTACATCATGCAACTTCATTGCAGCATTACGTTTTTTTTAATTAAACATTTATACATTTATTTATTTTTAGTTTTCAACATTCACTTCCACAAGATTTTGAGTTCCAAATTTTCTCCCCATCTCACCCCTCCCCCAACCCCAAGATGGTGTGCATTCTGAATACCCCTTCCCCTAATCTGCCTTCCCTTCTATAACCACCCTCCCTTCTTTTATCTCCTTCCCCTTCTATTTTCCTATAGGGCAGGATAGATTTCTATACCCCATTGCCTGTATGTTATTTCCCAGTTGCTTGCGAAAACAATTTTCAACATTTGTTTTTAAAACTTTGAGTTCTAAATTTTCTCCCTTCCTCCCTCCCCACTCACCCTCACTGAGAAGGCAAGCAACTCGATACAGGTTATACTTGTATAATCATGCAAAACACTTCCATAGTAGTCATGTTGTGCAAAACTAACATATTTCCCTTTATCCTATCCCACCCTCCCCCTAGCTCCTCCTGTTTATTTTATTCTTTTCCTGTCCCTCCTCAGAAGTATTTGCTTCTGATTACCTCCTCCCTCAATCTGTCCTCCCTTCTATCATCCCCCCCCCATCTCTTATCCCCTTCTCTATTTTCTTGTAGGGTAAGATAGATTCCCATACACAATTGAGTGTGTATGTTATTCCCTCCTTAAGCCAAATCTGATAAGAATAAGATTTATTCATTCTCTCTCACCTTCCTCCACTTCCCCTCCACTGTAAAAGCCTTTTCTTGTCTGTTTTATGTGAGATAATTTACCCCATTCTACCTCTCTTTTTCTCCTTCTCCCAGTATAATCCTCTCTCACCCCTTAATTTTAATTTCTAGATATCATCCCTTCATATTCAACATGGCTCTGTTCCATCTATCTGTCTGTCTATCTATTATCCATCCATCCATCCATTCCCTTAATGTAGAAGCTGCTAAATCTCATGTTATCCTGATTGTGTTTCCATAATACTTGAATTGTTTCTTTCTGGCTGCTTGCAGTATTTTCTCCTTGACCTGGGTACAATATTTGGCTTGATTTTGGCTACATATTCCAAGGAGTTTTCCTTTGGTGATCTCTTTCAGGAGGTGATTGGTGGACTCTTTCTGTTTCTATTTTGCCCTCTGGTTCTAATATATCAGGGCAGTTTTCCTTGATAATTTCTTGAAAGATAATGTCTAGCCTCTTTTTTTGATCATGGCTTTCAGGTAGTCCAATAATTTTAAATGATCTCTTCTGGACCTATTTTCCAGGTCAGATGTTTTTCCAATGAGATATTTCACATTGTCTTCTATTTTTTCATTCTTTTGGTTTTGTTTTACAATTTCTTGATTTCTCATAAACTCATTAGCTTCCAATTGCTCCTTTCTAATTTATTTACTTATTTAGGCAATTGGGGTTAAGTGACTTGCCCAGGGTCACACAGCTAGTAAGTGTTAAGTGTTTGGTCTGAGGCCAGATTTGAATTCAGTCCTCCTTACTTCAGGGCCAATGCTCTATCCACTGTGCCACCTAGCTGTACCTCCATTCTAATTTTTAAGGAAGTATTTTCTTCAGTGAACTTTTGGACTTCCTTTTCCATTTGGCCAATTCTGCTTTTTAAGGTATTCTTCTCCTGATTGGCTTTTTGGACTTCTTTTGCCATTTGGATTAGTCCATTTTTTTTAAGGTGCTATTTTCTTCAGTATTTTTTTTAAGGTCTCCTTTAGCAAGCTGTTAACTTGTTTTTCATGATTTTCTTGCATCACTCATTTCTCTTCCCAATTTTTCCTCTACTTCTCTTGCTTCTCAAAATAGTTTTTGAACTCTTCCATAGCCAGGGATTGATTCATATTTTTCTTGGAGGCTTTGGATGTAGGAGCTTTGACTTGGTTGTCTTCTTCTGGTTGCATGTTTTGATTTTCTTTGTCACCAAAGTAAGATTGTATGGTCTGACTTTTTTTGCACTGTTTGTTCATTTCCCCAGCCAATTACTTGAGTTTTAAACTCTTTGTTAAGGTAGGGGTCTGCTTCCAGTGTGGAGAATGTACTGTCCCAAGCTTCGGGGGTTTTGTGCAGCTGTTTTCAGAGATACTTCTAGGGACCTGTAAATTTTCATTTCTTACAAGGTGGTATGATCAAGGGCCAGGTGTTTACTCTTTTCCTGGCCTGGGCTCTGGTCTGTGAGTGACCACAAGCACTTTTTCTGCCCTGGAACTGTGAGGAGGATTCCTTCTTCACTGCTGCCACAAGCTCTATCATGCT